GTGTGTGCTTGGTTGCATTTGGTGTTGCTAGATCTAAAGGTGCCCAAACTTGAGAACGTTGAAAGGACACGTGCAAAGGACGGCGTTGTTCATGTTCTTCAAGGACCTAGCAAAACCCCGGCTTTGAAGGATGGCGAATGCGAAACCTCAAAGGAAGCGTGCATCATGGCAAATGTCTATAGAGTAGCCAACCGAGTTAAGCAAGTCGGCTTCAAACCCTCGTGCCGAGTTGGAGGGAATGAAGATGAAGGAGCACGAGGGTGTCCGAGTTTGATTACTCGTGTTCAAACCATTGTGAATCAATTGAAACGAAGATGGAGAAGATGTAGCGGACACCAGAGTGGTGGAGAAGATCTTGAGATCTATCGCCGGACGGCTTTGAGAACGTGGTATGTGCTATAGAATAATCCAAAGGGTTTCCTTTAGCTACGCTCACCGATTGATGAGCTAGCAGACACCTAAAGCGCATGGCAACAAAGAAGAAGGAGGAGACTCTTCGGACAGCACTTGAGACCAAAGCGATAACTTAAGAGTAGAAGGCTCTCTATTCTCAAAACTTCCGAGGTAGAGGATGTGGTCGCGGTGGACGAGGCACTGACCGTAGTGGTAGAGGCCGAGGCCGAAGTCAAGAAGGTTGTAATGATGAGGTAGGACAATCAATTCAACAAAACTGGCGTGGAAGAGGAAGAGGTCGACGAGGAGGACGATCATATTATTCCAACGTCGAGTGTTACAAGTGTGGCAAGTTTGGTCACTTTGCGAAAGATTGTAACTCAGACAAGTGTTACAACTGTGGAAAAGTCGGACATTTTGCAAGAGAATGCAAAGAAGAGAAAAGGGTGGAGGAGACATCCAACCTAGCCACAGAAGGGGAAATGAAGGATGGTGTCTTGTTAATGACACACAATGAAGGAAACTCAGATGATGACATGGAGTGGTATCTTGACACGGGTGCGAGTAACCACGTGCGGACATAAGCATTTCTTCAAGGAGATGAGAAAGGTGGAGACCGGACATGTTTCGTTCGGGGATGTCTCGAAGGTTGAGGTAAAGGGTCGTGGTACGGTATGCTTCCTGCAAAAGGAAGGGTGAGTATTGTATTTGAAAGATGAGAGCGGTCGGCTGATAGTCCGAGTTGAAATGGGCAGAAATCGAATGTACAAACTGAACTTGAGATGTGTACAGGTCGACTGTTTACAAGCCGAGGTGGAAGACAAGGCGTCACTTTGGAACCTCCGCTTTGGTCACCTACATTACGGTGGTCTAATCGAGCTGGCAAAGAAGAAGATGGTTGACGGACTGCCTGACATCAACTATGAAGGAAAGTTTTGTGAGAGTTGTGTACTTAGCAAGCATGCTAGGACCACGTTTCAGAAGATGGCGAGATTTCGGGCCAAGCAGCCTCTGGAGTTGATTCATACTGATCTGTGTGGTCCAATCACCCCGGAATCCTTTAGCGGTAAGAAATATTTCATCTCTTTCATTGATGATTTCTCACGAAAAACTTGGGTTTATTTCCTGAAGGAGAAGTCCGAGGTGTTTAATGATTGAGAAGGCAACAGGAAAATTCATCAAGTCAGTGCGTTCTGACCGAGGTGGGGAATATACCTCGACAACATTTCTGACATTCTGTGAGGAACATGGGATAAGAAGGTTTCTAACAGCACCATACTCACCACAACAAAACGGCATTGCTGAAAGGGAGAACCGAACTGTTCTTGACATGGTTCGGTCAATGCTGAAGAACAAGAAGATGTCGAAGGAGTTTTGGGCGGAAGCTGTGCAGTGTGCTGTGTATGTGCAGAACTGATGTCCACATTCGAGTTCAGAGAACAAAACACCACAGGAAGCTTGGAGCGGTCAAAACCCGTCAGTGGCTCATCTCAGAGTATTCGGTAGTGTGGCCTTTGCACACGTACCAGACCAGCTCAGAACTAAGCTTGAGAACAAAAGCAGGAAATATGTTTTTATGGGATATGATGAAAAAACAAAGGTGTATAAGCTGTTTGACCCCGTCAACAAGAAGGTCGTAGTGAGCCGAGATGTAAGGTTCAATGAAGCATATGAGTGGGACTGGAGCAATTCACCCGAGGTGAATTTTGAAGGCGGAATCTCAACACAAGTAATCAACCCGGCAAGTCCTGAAGCTTCTGATGATGAAGACAAGGTACGACAACCCAGGATGCGGAGCATACAAGACATATATGAGTCAACAAGTGAGGTACATTTTGTTTGTCTTCTTGCAGATTCTGAAAATATAAGCATTGAAGAAGCCATCCGAGATAAGAAATGGCAAGACGCCATGGATGAGGAGATAGAAGCCATTGATCAAAATAACACGTGGGAGTTAGCCGAGCTACCTGGAGGGAGTCAGCCCATTGGGGTAAAGTGGGTATTCAAGAAGAAAATGAATGCTCAAGGGGAGATAGAACGATATAAAGCTCGGCTAGTTGCAAAGGGTTACAAGCAAAGGGCAGGAATTGATTATGACGAGGTATTTGCTCCCGTCGCAAGGATGGAGACAATTCGGCTATTGATTTCACAAGCAGCTCAACATAGGTGGCAGATATTTCAAATGGATGTCAAGTCGGCATTCTTGAATGGAGTACTTGAAGAAGAAGTCTATCTCGAACAGCCACCGAGATACATGAAAGGTTGAGAAGAGAAGAAAGTGTTGAGGTTGAAGAAGGCACTTTACGGGTTGAAGCAAGCACCACGGGCGTGGAATACTCGTATTGACACTTATTTCAAGGAAAATCGTTTTGAGCAGTGCCCCTATGAACATGCACTTTATATAAAGAAAATTGGAGATGATGTTTTGTTTGTGGCTCTTTATGTGGATGACCTCATCTTTATGGGGAACAATGATGGAATGATACATGAACTCAAAAGAACAATGACAAGGGAGTTTGAGATGACAGATCTCGGTCTGATGAGATATTTTCTTGGTCTGGAAGTCAGACAAGACAACTTGGGTATTTTTGTCTCTCATGAGGCATATGCAAAGGAGATTCTCAAAAGATTTAAGATGACAGATTGCAACTCGGTTTCAACCCCTATGGAACCCGGTTCAAAACTCTCAAAGTATGATGGTGGAGATCGAGTTGACGCAAGCAACTACCGAAGTTTGGTAGGATGTCTTCGTTATCTGACATGCACAAGACCGGATCTCTCACTGAGTGTTGGGATTGTAATTCGGTTCATGGAGGAGCCGAGTTATTCACACTGGAAGGCGGCAAAAAGAATCTTGAGGTATATACAAGGGACAGCTTCATTGGGACTTCACTACTTGAGGTCCAAAAATTATAAGTTAATTGGGTACACTGATAGTGACTGGTGTGGAGATGTAGACGATCGGAAAAGTACGCCGGGATATGTATTCTTCATGGGCAACACGGTATTCACTTGGATCTCGAAGAAACAACCCATTGTGACTTTGTCGACCTGTGAAGCTGAATATGTAGCTGCGTCTTGGTGTGTTTGTCATGCAGTATGGCTCAGGAACTTACTAAGCAAGCTGGAGGAGAAACAAGTCGGCCCAACCGAGATCCGTATTGATAACAAGTCGGCCCAACCGAGATCCGTATTGATAACAAGTCGGCTATAGAGTTAGCCAAGAACCCGGTGAATCATGAAAGAAGCAAGCATATTGACGTCCGTTTTCACTTCATCCGGGATCAAGTAAAGGAAGGAAATGTGGAGTTATTACATGTGGCAAGTCAAGACCAAGTCGGAGATATTTTCACAAAACCACTGCCGACGTTACTACTGAAAAACTGCAAAAGAATGATTGGCATGAAAAGTGGAAGAAGCATTTAAGTTTACGGGGGAGTTTTGTTAAGTAAACGTTAAATGTTATTTTAATGAGTTTTAAATTTGGATAGTTTATGAGTCATGAGTTTTATATTTATTTAGGAGTTTTAAGAGTCAGTCGTTATTTAATGTTATTAGTGTTGAAGTGTCTTTTTAGTTTCATGTGTTAATTGAAGAGTCATGTCTCTTGGTGAGTTATGAGTAGTTAGTGATGTTATGAGGGTTTATGAGACTCTTGATTAGCCTTGTAATGAGTCTCTTCATTAGTACTTTCCGTTTTTTGTTTTGCCTATTAATAGGCTTGATGTAATGCACAATTCATAGAATAGATTTGACAACAGAAAGTTCTTCATAGATATACTTGTGTGGTTGTTACTTGCATCTGTGTGTAGATACCAAATTCTAACAATACACATACAAGTACTCGTGATTGGTGTTCATGAATTTTTTAAACAAAATTATCAAATTGTGTGTGATTTGCGACTTTGCCAAACTTGCATCATAATGAGAATTATTTTTTAAAGTTGTATTAGATGGAGAATATATTATCAAATGTAAAAGACACCATATGTATAAAATTGCCGATTTGATGTTTGGGCTCCTGCCAGATTCTCTTTTTTATGGAGCTTTTTGGTGATTATTATTATTTAGTTTTTATGGGTGAATGTTTGTAGGTCAATTTATCTCCCAGTTCTCGGGTTCAGGTTTTAAATAAATTTCAGCTTATTGAAGGGTCTTTACCGAAATTGTAGTTTGTATAAGCAGAAAAACATTTGCGGGAACGAGAGTCTCACTATGAGCTATGATTAGTCTTGTACAAGAATAAATCTCTCCCAATACTATCATGTGTAAAAGAATAATGTTCCTGAGTTGTGCTTCATAATTAATCAAAAGAAACAAGGATTGATTACATTTCATGTATCATTATATTAAGGATACATGTACGCATAATATATTGCGATATAATAAATTAACACTTGACTTTGCCGCTAGAACTCTTCATATGGACTTATAATTCACACAAAAGCATTAGTTCACTTTCCTGCAGTTCAAACGAACTTCACCTTGATTCCCAGTGAGGGGCTTCATATTTCCCATCTTAATAATAGACTTTGCAAAGTCCTTGTAGAAAGCTACGGTATTGTGCTTGTATTTTTTAACCAATGCATCAGTAGAACCACCGTTGAAAAGTTCCTGATCAGAGTGAAGAATCCCTCTCTTTTGAACCAAATCAGCGTAGTAGGCTGCATCAAAGTGTGCAGGAGTTGGGTCCAAAGGAGCAAGGTTGAAGTCACCTCCATTTTTTGGGCAAATGTATTTAAGCGCTTTTGCAAAGTAGAGATTAATGTTAGAGTCATTGTAGATATGATCCCTAAATGTAACACAACGTGCAAATCCAATGGTGTGGGCTCCAGCAAGAACAACAAGGTCCTTCTCATCTAGACCATGGTTCTGGAAGTTGGTAATAAGTTGAGAAAGGCTGAAAAATGGTGCTGGGATGTCAGCATTTGCATCATCACGGCTTGCTGTGGTTGAGTCTCTTCTCCCAAGTCTCACCTTCCAAGTTGGACCGCCTAACTGCATGGTGCATGCACATAATTGTTAATTTCAATTTTAACTTATTTTATTAATTAAAAACAATATTATGTTTCTTAAGGTGTTATATACTCAAGTTTCAAATACATATATGGAATGCATCTTTTAGGGGTAGGTTGATAATCCACATTTCAATATTAATTCAAATGTTAAGATTACATTAGTTTTGTTTCAGTCAAAGTTTTCCAAATAAATAAAAACATTTCATTATCATATGCCACTTAGCACTTGCTCTATTTGATGGTAACTAAAGGATATAAAAATTGAACTATTGATTAATTCAATTCAAAAAATTAAGCATAATAAATTAAAGATATCGTTGAACATTCTACATAGCATTTGGGGATAGTAAGTAGCTTTGTAATATTACTCACCGCAACGACAGAGTCTCTTGAGGCTACAGCTAATATGTCTGCGCAAGAAACAACTGGTTTTCCACATGCTTCGTCCACTGCTTGCTTGATCTCATCCACCACTTCAAATCCTCTAGCTGATTGGAAATTAGGGTTTGCATTCTTTTCGCTATCAATGGTAGATGTGGGGTCTAGAAGAATTGAACCATCACAACCCTGAATCACCACCATCACAAATCCAAGTTATTTATCACATTCAAACAATTCCATCAACTAAAAACTAAAATACATGTACGGAGGAGGATCAACTTATAGCGATACAAATATAAGAGTAAATACTTTTTGGGTCCCTAACAAAAAATATGGTTTCCTCTTAGTCTCTTACAAATAAAAATTAATCGTCTAGTCTCTATGAAATTCAAAGTGTATCCCATTTTAGTCCTTTTGAGGGACTAATGTGAGTCTTTTTTGAATTTGTGAGGGACCACGATTTCAACTAAATGAGTTCATCTTGAATTTCTTAGAGACCTCTAGAGTAATTTTTTTTTATGAGAGATTAAGGTGGGGACAATATTTTTTGCTAGGGACTCAAAAGATATTTACTCTAAATATAATAATTCTTATACACATATTATTAGTTATGGACCCCTCTTGCATAAAATAGTTCAGGTTATTAATAAATTGCAACCGTCAGATGCAACGAAAATGAACCCGTTAACAACGGAGGTAAGACTTACACATATATAAATTGTTCATTCCCGTATATATATATATATATATATATATATATATATATATATATTACACAATGACAAATTCAGAGAGTCTTACATTAACAAAGCAATCATGGAAATTCAGAGAGTCTTACATTAACAAAGCAATCATGGAAGTGCAAGCGCAGTAAAGATGCACCCATACGGCGTTCTTTCTGTACGGCAGCATCCACGACTTTTCGGATGGTGCTCAAAGCGTTAGGGCACGAGTAATCATAGTAATTAGGTGACAGTGCTGAGAATGTTGTGGTTGCGATAGCTGCAAAGATGACAACACAGAAATATCCGTTTGAGGCCATTTTTATTATGCAATGATTAATGATTAGTACTGAATTTATAGAGAAAAGGGGAATGGGAGCTTGAATAAAAAAGAGGAATAATACCAAGTGGTTGGTGGACTAGGCCAAAGAAATGACCATTTCGTTGAAAGAAATTTTCATCAAGGCATTAAATGAAGTAGTTAACTTGCCACTGTAGATTTGTGTAAGAAATCGAGGAAAAGAATTTGTCATTGGTTGATTTAGTCCATGGAGTTCGTTAATTGATAAGTCAAATAGAAAAAGATTAAGAAAAAAAATCATATAAACGGAAACATACATGCATGGAATGCATCTCTTCCGCTTTCATTTGAAAATTCGGAAAAATCAACTACGAATCCCAGTTAATCAAGTTACATTAACTCATTTTATGATATTAATTAATTTGTAAAATATACGAAAATGTATTATCAAGAAAAAGTATTATATTATTAGAGTAAAATACTCTTTTGGGTCCTTAACAAAAAATACGGAACTCATGTTAATCCCTTAAAAGAAATATCTATATTAGTCCTTTTTAAGGGACTAACGTTGGTCTAATTTTAGAGAAACCACAATTTCAAAGAACTGAAATTTTAGAGGTACAAATCGATTTTTTTTTTCCTTCTAAGGGATTAAAATAGATTTCTTGTTTTTCTTTTTGTTGAAGACTGGTTATTTATTATTATTATTATTATTATTATTATTATTATTATTATTTATTGAAAGTATCTGAAAGTTTCAATATATTCATATTCTTAACATCAATGTACTAAACTGAGGTGCATTAATAGTTCCTCAAATTTCTATTTAAGTTCTTTTTTTTTTTTCACCTTTTCTCTGGCGTGATATCTGGGATTTGTCTTTTTTGTTTGTTTTGTCTTGTCGAGTTGGTATTTTTTTTAATCTTTGACAAGAAAGTAATTATTGAAACTAATTAATTAGGAAAAAAAGTTGAAAGTAGATGGTAAGAACGCACCGTTAATTAAGGAAGTTAATTAATTAATTAAGAGAAATTAAGAAATAATTCCATAATTGACCCTAATAATTATTATAAGGCTTAAATAATATTGATAAGTGATTAATAATGCTGAAAGTCGCTTTTCTGACGAAAAATGTAGATACCGGTTCTGCTCTTCAGTATAAATGTGTACCGATGAAGTATCCCAAAAAATTATAATAAGTGCATGAATCTACCTAGAATAATATGTAGGACTGTGAAAACAAGTTTCAAGTTAAAATAATGAGAACTGGTGTCAAAACTGATACTGACTATGAAAAAGCGCGTACCAAAAAGGTGCTGCGAAAGATAAAATAAAAATATGAAAAATCTTAGAAAAATGAGTAGGTTCTGAATCTCAAGTTTGAGATTAAAATACTAAGAGTAGCTATTAGTGCTAATATTGTGCGCTTAAACTTAATCTGGCTATAAATACAACTTTTGGGCTCAAGTGGCCTTCTATTCCTTGTTTCTACGTGACCTTTGGAGGCTGATCATCCTTTGACACTGTTCCATTGCTGGTCTCCCTTCACCTTGTGAGCCAAGTGGCCTTCTCTTCCTTGTTTCTTCATGGAATCACCATAAATATTGAGAGTAAACCTTGGGAAGTTGAGAGCCACCTTATTCTGAGTTGTTGCAGCCTCTAGCTTGTGTGTGGGAAGGCTGAGCTCACTATTTGTGGGCTGAGTTGGTGGTCCTCTTTGGTGAGAGCCATTTCCTTGTCTTTGGAGGCTTCAAGGAACTATTTTGATGATGAAAGGTCCAAGCTTGTAGGGCATTTTCGTTCCTTGGTAAAGTCAGAACCTAGGCACTGTGTAGGGGACTTTTTTTGTCTCATTTTCGGAGTCTTGGAGCCTTGGAGGTATACATGATCACTTCTTTGTCATTTTGATGATTTAAGCTTGTTTAATCTATTAAAAAGAGAAACGTTAACCATTTAAGTAAAAGAATGTGTTTCTGAGTTCTTAAGATGTTGTTGAATATCTGTTTTGAGAGTCATTGGACTCCCAATCGCATTTGGACCCTTAAAAGTGGGATTATGCAAAAATCTGTTCAAATTTCTGCATTCTATTGGAGAAGTATTCGAATACTTTTCGTGTAGTATTCAAATACTTATCCCTTGGTAATCGAATACTCCTTGTTGGAGTATTGGGATACTTTTCTGGAAAGAAAATTATTCGGATACCTTTGAAGAAGTATTCGAATACTGGAGAGTATTCGAATACAGTGAGTTTTGGTATTCGAATACTGTGGTATTCGGATACTTGGGGTGTTGGTATTCGAATACCTTGTGGTATTCGAATACTTTAGTGAAAGTAATCGAATACTTTCCGGAGAGCTGGAGTATTCGAATACTCATCGAGGAGTATTCGAATACCTCCTGCGAAAACAGCATAAAATGACTCAAAATGAGATGGAAAGCCTTAATCACTTAAGGTAACCTTGGTAAATGGTTATTAATGATTATTACTGTATAAACAGATTGTGATTGTGCTGTTTGTGGGCTTTGAGCTAGTGTGAACTCTTGGCTTGGATTGTTATCTTGCAAGGTAAGCTTTCGTGTCCTCGGTTTAGCCATTGTTGGTTCCACCATACCCTATGGAGGAATGATTTATATGCATGATGTGTTCTCATGCTTTGATATTTGATATTTGAAATACTTGTGAACTGTTAAGCGCAAGGGCCTTATAATATGCATGTGTTGTTCCATCTAGACGGTAAGCCTGAGTATGTGGTGTCATACAAGACGGTGATCCGTGGGTGGATGTAAGTGGCGTCTTGCACTATTGTAGGATTTAGACGTAAGTAAATCCTGCATTTCTCTGGCCAGTAGAATAGTATTGACACACATGACATGGTTATCTGTTGCATTGCACTGATTTTGGAACTGATATTATATGTTGCTTTTAGAACTTATTTTGCACATGTAAGTGAGCTTGGGGTGGAGAAATCCTTTAGGACCCCTTGCCTTACTGAGATTTCTATTTAGAGATCTCACCCCACGTTTGGGGCACTAATTTCAGGTAACTTGGGGGCTGATGCCTCTGGCGGCAGAAGGCCGGAGCTTAGTTGATTGATATATGTTGTATGCTGACATGACTGATTATTGGATGTTGTTTATGTTTATTGTCCTTTTTATGCAATTGAGTTGAGACTCTAGTTGGGCCTTGTTGCCTTATTTGGTGAGCATGAGGATTGTCCATGCCACGTTATGTTGACTTTGGTATTTTAGATTTGAGTTGTTCAATGTATCAGGATATTGTCTGGACTACGTGTTGTAGATCCGTGACTTAGATACCCACTTATTTATATTATGAGATTATTCAGTTAAATAGTTGTTTATTTGCAATTATATACAGACAATGTTTTGAAAGAGAACTAAGTAAGCAACTCGGTTAATATTAATGACGTCATAATTGAAAAGAAAAAGTTATTCCGTAATTTTTATTAAGCGTGGCTTAATACGATGACATGTTAACAAACTGGGTATACACGGGGTGTTACATTTTATGGTATTAGAGCACTTTTTAATGAAAAGTCTGTATGTATTGCAATAACTTAAGATGTTTGGTTGTGAGTCTGTTTTGTGTGTTTCCTCTGATGGGTTTTGCTATGATGATGCATGTGTGACCACATTGCATGGGCCTGATCAACTCATTCTTTGTGTAACTTGTGTAGAGTCATGGTAATTCCTAGGAAAAATCGCGAGACGAACGAGGATCAGCCGGATCCTGTCCTGACTACATTGGCTGACATGCAGGCGGCTAGGATAGCCGATCAGGAGGCCACTAGAGTGGCCAACTTTGCAATGATGGACACCGTTCGAGAGGCGAACTGGAGAGCCTTAGAAGAGGTTTTGGAGGCGAATCGACTGGTGTATATGACCATGATACGAGTTGTAATGGAGGAGTTGAGGATTGGTTGTCTTGACGGCCAACATCCTCCGCTGCCACCACCTTCATCCCCACAGCAATGTGGGAGTGGAGTTAGCATGATGTTAGTTGGGAATGAATCCTCGCTGCGTAAGTGCATTTCGTGTGGAAAGACTCCTACGGGTGCTTGCTGGCAAGGACAAAAAGTATGTTTCAGATGTGGCGAGCCAGGTCACCTTATCAAGAGGCGTGCTTCCAAGGCAGAGCGAGCTGCAGGAATACAAAATGTTTCAGTATGTTGTGTTGACGGGATAGCTGGATCAACATGTAAGGACTTTGATACTTGCAATCACCAGAGCAGTGACTTCGAGAAGATTCGTGTGAACCACGAGGCAAAGAGAGTCAAAGAATCTGAGGCTAAGGGAACCAGTAGTTCCACTTCTTGGAGGAACATGAATTTTAGAGGCAAAGGTGAAGGGAAGCATCTACAGGTCAAGCAACTGTGCAACAAATTTAAGAGGCATACTACTCAGGCAGGCAACTTTGCTGGATCTTCGACTATCCCGAAGTGTACGGGATGCGAGAAGGAGCATTTGGGACGTTGTGCTTCGGGTGAGCTGATATGCTTCAAGTGTGGCAAGAAGGGCCACTACTCCAGAGACTGCCATACTCATGTCGCTTGTGCTGCTGTTGCTCGTGTGGTACCATTCCAGATGATTTCTGCACTACCAGAGACCGGCCGAGTTTATATGTCGGATAGTCAGCAGACGAGCCGAGCTTCGAACCTTGTAGGAGGTACTGTTTCCATTGGTGGATCTTTTGTTGATGCATTGTTTGACTCCGGGCCTATGCACTCCTTTATTGCTACCCCGATTGCTATGGGGCTTGAGTGCCCATTGCTGTGCTTTCTCCACTGTTGCGGGTGATTATCGCCACCGGAGAAAAGTTTGATACTACCACTGTTCATCGAGATATCGTGTTTCAGTGGGATGGTCGTGATTACTCGGTAGGTCTGATTGGACTTCCGATGGCTATTTTGGAAATCATTCTGGGCATGGGTTGGTTGTCCAGAGACTGTGTGATGTTTGACTGTTGTGCCAAGCGAGTGGTGATGTCTCCGTGTGATTCCACAGCCAGTTCATCGCCTTTTATTTCGGTGCTGCAGGCTAGAAGAGCCCTGTGAGCAGGGACATTGGTGATGTCTTGTTGGGAGGTTTGGTGAGTGGGACACAGGAGGATATCACTGGCATTCTTATGGTGGGGAAATTCCTCGAGACGTTTCCTGAGTTTTCGCCACAGCGAGAGATAGAGTTCTCCATAGAATTATTTCCTGTTGTGGGGTCTATTTCATTATCTCCGTATCGGATGTCGCCACCGGAGTTGGCGGAGCTGAAGAAGCTCATTGTTGGTCTTTCGGCGAAAGACTTCTTTCGACCGAGCGTGTCTCCTTGGGAAACACCGGTCAATTTTTTTATAAGGTATGATGCCTTAAGCCATTACATAAGTGTGATGGTTCCTTGTTTGAGAGTGTGAAATTCTCTTCAATGAAAAGTAAGTGTGTGACACTTGAACTTTGTGACAAGGCCACGCGTGATCTTGTATATGCGAGCAATGTTTTGAAAGAGAACTAACTAAGCAACTCGGTTAATATTAATGATGTCATAATTGAAAAGAAAAAGTTAATCCATAATTTTAATTAAGCGTGGCTTAATACGATGACATGTTAACAAACCGGGTATACACGGGGTGTTACATAAATCTTAACTTGTAGCTCGAGTGAATTATTAATTCAAATTCAACACCTACTATAATGACTTTATTTATATTTATTTTGCTTACTGTAACACCCCGTGTATACTCGGAATATTAACATTACATCGTATTAAGCGGTGCTTAATTAAAAATGCGGAATATTCTTTTTCTTTTCAATTATGACGTCATTATCAATTACCAACTTGATTACTTAATCAATTTCATAAAATATCGCCTGTATGTAAAATTGCAATAAGACATCTACTGAAATACCTCAATATATAGATAAAGTGTGTATCTAAATCATGGCATTACATCAAGTAATTCGGACAATATCCTGATACATTATTACAACCCCAAAAGACACAAGACATAATCAAGACGTAATAATACTATGTGTCATGGACAATCCCATGCTCACCAAATAAACATAGTAAACCATAAGTCTCAACATAAAACTCCAAAACATAAACTGAAGCTATAAGCATAAAAGCAGCATGCAAATCCAGCATCCAATCAAGGCATCATAATATAACAGCAATCTAACTCAGCTCCGGCCTCCTGCCGCCTGAGGTCTCAACATTACCTGACCCTGAAATAAGCATTCCCCAAACGTGGGGTGAGATCTCTAAACTAGAAATCTCAGTAAGACAAGGGGTCCTCAAGGATCTTCCACCCCAAGCTCACTTACATGTGCTATATAAGTTCAAAAAGCATTTATATGATTATCAGTTCCAAAACTATGTAGTGCAACAGATATCTATGGCATGTGTGTAATCACTATCTACTGGCCAGAGAAATGTACGAATACGTCTATTCCCTACATGTAGTACAAGGAACACCGCTTGCACCTCATCCACAGCCTCACCCTCTTGTATGTTCTACATACTCAGGCTTACCGTATAGGTGGAACACCTACATGCATATCAACAAGGCACTAACATACAATAGCTCAACAGCATTTCCAAAACATCAAAAGCATGTAACACAGCATGCATGTACCATATCCCCATGGGACATGGTGGAACCACAACATGGCTAAACCGACGACACGAAAGCTTACCTCTAAGCTAGCTATCCAATGCCACAAGCTCAAAGTCCAATCACAGCAGATCACAATCTGATATGGACCAAATATAAATCAATAACATGTACCACATGCATACAAATTAAAGACAACACCTTTTCATTATATTTTCAAGTCTTAAAGCTTCTAACAAAGCCACAAGCCCTTAATCCCATGATTCTGGCTTAATCCATTAAAAACAGAAGTTCAACTTCATCAATCTAGGGTCTACAAACCCCCAATAGCCTACTGTATGCACAACACAGCTACTGTTCTGCGAAATCTCAGAATATCAGGATATTCCTCGGGACCATATCCGGATATGCAATATCCGGATATCTCACTGTACATATCCGGATATGCAATATCTGGATATCCAGAATCCCATATCCGGATATCTAATATCCGGATGTCCAAATCCCATATCCAGATATCATATATCCGGATATTGTTCGGGCACATATCCGGATATTTCACGACAGAATGCAGAAACTGTATTTCGTGAAGATATCCTTCCAAGGTTGGGTTTTTACTGATTTTAAACACCTAAACATGCATTTCTAGGTGTGTTTGACCAACCCCAACATTAAGTTATCATCTTTTAACCTTTACATGCATCAAGGTTCCATTTTTAAGCTTAAAGACCCAAGATCAAAGGTGATAAAGCTTACCAAAGCTCAAACTTAGAAAAAGGTTGCTCTTGGAGCTCACACAACAGCTCCAAGGTTCTGACTTCAAGGGTGCACGGAAATGCCTTCACAAAGGTTGGTTCTTTCTCACCAAAGGTCACCACTTGGACCTCAAAATGCCATGACTATGGCTTTCAACACCCAAACCACCCAAAACCAGCACCCTCACCCACACACAGAGGACGGAAACTAAGAATACACCCTCAAACTTCCTCACCATGCATGTTTTTAAGTGTATACAAGCTCAAAGAGGGAAGAAATCAAGTGAAGGTGACAACTTGAGTTCAAAAATGGTGAAAGGAGGCAATGGAACAGTAAACCACCCTCAGCCCACCAAGTGCTTCACGTAGGAATTCTGGTATCTAGGGCAATGTGCCCTTAGTAAGTGTATTTATAGCCAAAACTCACTTAAGCACACAATATTAACTTTAATTGCTACGCTTAGCATTTAAATCCCAAACTTTGGATTATGAAACTAAAATATTTTCTAATATTTATCATATTTTTCTTATATTTTTCTGATTAACTTTTCGATACGCGCTTTTCAAAGCCAGTACCGGTTTCTAGCACCATTTGTCATTATTTGGACTTGAAACTTGTTTTACAAGTCCTACATATTATTCTAGTAATTATCATGCACTTAATTTAATTTTTCGGGATACTTTTTTGGTACGCATTTATACCGACTAGCAGAACCGGTATCTGCACTTTTCTTCCGAAAAGCGACTTTCAGCATTCTTAATCACTTACTATGATAATTAAGCCTCATAAATAATTATTAGGGTCAATTATGTAATCATTTCCTATTTTTGCATAATTAATTAATTTAATACCTTAATTAACGGTGCGAGTTCTTACACTTACGGTGCAAGATTCAAATATGAACACGAGCAAAAATTTGAAATAATTAAATTAAGGTAAAATGTGTGTTATTTTAAAGGATGTAAAGTTGTGTTATTTTAAGAGAAAGAAAGAGATAGATAAAGGAAGAGATAGTTGACAAAAAAAAGTGTAGATCCCACCTCTTTGTGAGAGTAAAAGGATATAAGTTGTGTTATTTAAAAGGATAAACACTTTTTTTTTGTGAACAGATAAACACTTTTCTCTTAAATTAATATCAATTGTGCATCTTGTACTAATAAAAATAAAACAAAGACTTATACTTTTGAGTTAGAAGCCTGCTTATAACAAAAAGGAAATTTCTACGGCCACTTTAAATAATATTGTCTATAATTATTTTTTTTAACTAAGAGTTTGTTTAGATCCTCTCTTTTTTTTTAAAAAAATACTATAAGCTACTTACAATCTAAAGCTAAAAAAAAGAGTTTAAAAAAATAAAAGTTGTATGCTAATAATATAAATTTTTTAGCTTAAAAACACATATTTTAAAAAAAATTATCTCTTTCTATCTTTATAACTCTTCATTTTAAGAAAAAAACATACAATTCAAGAAAAACAGATAAGAGCTTAAAAAAAAGCTCTTCTTAAGAGCTTTTACCTTTTACCTTTTTTTGTTTATTATAAAAAAGAGCTTTTCATTATAAGAGCTTCTCTCAAAATCTGTTTGACCTAACTTATGCTTATAAGTAGTTTCTAACTTAAAAAAGAGAATTATATATATATATATATATATATATATATATATATATATATATATATATATATATATATATGGAGAGAGATCATTTGACTCAAGAGTAAGACTTATAAGTCTTACTCTCCATCCTAACCGTTGATTTCCGTTCATCCAACGGTTATAATTTAGGAAGTTATATTAATTAATTAATTATTAATTATACTATTAATGACAACCGTTGATTTCCGTCCATCAACGGCTGGGATTTGGAGTAAGACTTAAAAGTCTTACTCTGGAGTCAAAAGAACCCTCCCCTATATATATATATATATATCTTAACTGTTGATTTTCGTTATTCAACGGTTATCATTTATTGAGAATTAATAATTAATTAATGAGTTTGATTTACGAAAATAATAACCGTTGATTAGCTGAAATCAACAGTTAAAATATGATTGTAAACAAAAATAGGTTGTAAGTATAACTTCTCTCTCTCTCTCTCTCTCTCTCTCTCTCTCTCTCTATATATATATATATATATATATATATATATATATATATTTGTGCTTTAAAGGATATAACTTTGTGTCATTTTAGATCCAAATCGTTAATTTCCGTCAAAACGATTATAATTTATTGCGAGTTACTAATTAATTAATAAGTTTGATCCAATAAATTATAACCGTTGATTGACGAAAATTAACAGTTAGGATCTAAAATAATACAAAGTTATATATTTTAAAAAGACAAATATTTTTTCATATATATATATATATAGGGCATTAGTTTTCTTATGCAACCGGTGACAAATATTATCTTATGTTGAGACAAAACAAAGTGGGACATCCATTTTTTTTTTATAAAAAAGAAAAAAGTTGGGTCTCAGTTTTCGATGTGAGAAGAGAAGGAGAGTAGGAGAGAACACTCTCATGCATTGTTGTTAAAATCTCGATTTATTACTATGATTTTACGATTTTTTTCATCAAAACGATTTTACTAATATTCCAAACGCTTTCACGT